TATATGGGCATAGTAGAGTGACACCAATTTGCATGTTTCTCTTTTATTGATGTAGATATACATACATACATACATTCAACCAGGTATACAAACAGGCAGGAAAACATGACTCATGAGAAGAATAATCAATCAATCAATTGAAACTTACTCAGAACTGACACAGATATTAGAATTGGCAAAGAAGGACATTAAAACTGTTATAATTGAATCCTATTCTTAAAGTTAAGTAGAGATACAGAAGCTATTGAGAAAAAAAGGTATAAAACACTATGATATCTGAGATGGATTATGCACCAAATAGAATGAATGATTAGACATTGTGGAAGATTTTATTCTGCAGAGAGGAATTCCGAGGATAAGGGAGTTTATCAGAAATGATGAAGAGACCATTTAATCGAGAGGGCATGGCAAGGCTGAACATTTGCCTATCCGATAGCAGCTTCACGTAGACGAAGAAAAACACAGCAGACAAGAGGGAAATGGACGGACCCACAGATACAGTCAGAGGTCTCACGTGTTCGCTGAAGCTTGGGTGGAACACGTGGGAAGCAGACCAGCCAGGTGGGCCGTGAGCCAGGTGGCCCGCACTCAGAGCATCCGCCAGCGGCGGACCTGCCTCAGGCGCACACGGAACACGCGCTTGGACATCAAGCAAGTCTCACGCTGTTTAGAGGGATGCGGATCGCACTGAACATGCCCGCAGGCCACAGCGGAATGGAACCAGAAGTCAGAACCCAGGAGATCTCTGGGAAAATCCTCAAATATTTGGACACGAAGTCACTTCTGAATAAGCCAGGGATCAAAGGAGGCTCCAAAAGGCAGGTGATCAAGCATTTTGCACGGAACGAAAATACCATTTACCCGACTGTGGGCTGCCTCTGCGCACGAGACTCCTGCAGAGGAAAAGCAGGGCCTCAGGTCGGGACCCCACTTCTGCCTTAAGGGATGGGAAGAGAAGAATGGGTTAAACCTAGAGAAAGGAGGACAGAAATCATACAGATCAAAGTGGAAATCGGTCAAGTAGGAAAACAGAAGAGAGAAATCATTGGAACTAAAAGCCGCTTCTTTGAGGAGATCAGTAGACTCATAGAACCAGCCAAATGGATCAGGAAAAGGGATCGAAGAAGACACTCATTAACAATGTCGGAATGAAGAGAGGTCACATTAAGTTGGATTCCATAAATATTAAAAGGGATATAGAATATAATGAACAACTTTATGCCAATGCATTTGACGACGTAAGTGTATGTGTGTTAGGGGGTCAGGTGGGGGTTGGTTTGTAGGACCAAGTAAAATACTCATGAGTTCCACACACAGAATGAAAGGGAGCCCTGGTCGGTGTGGCTCAGTGGATAGAGCATCAGTCTGCAGACTGAGGGGTCCCGGGTTCGATTCCAGTCAAGGGCACATGCCCGGGTTGTGGGCTTGATCCCCAGTCAGGGGCATGCAGGAGGCAGCTGATCAATGATTCTCATCATTGATGTTTCTATCTCCCTCTCCCTTCCTCTCTGAAATCAATAAAAATATGAAAAGTGGAGCGGCCTCTCTCCCCAGACCCAGTCCTAGAGGACACACCGTTCATTCTGTGGGAGACCGAGGGCAGGGATGGTGTGAGAGGGTGAGAGAGGACACAGGGAGGAAGGGGGTGCGTGCTTGCCGGCTGGCTCTGTGTATGTTGTGACTACAGGCAGGCGGGCCGGGGGTTGGAGAAACACCCTTGACGGCCGAGAGGGTGGAGGTGGAGGTGGCGGCCGCGCAGGACCCAGCGGCTGATTTCAGCCGTCGGTGGCCCCCCCCAGAGCCTGGCAGCGCTAGCGTTCCAGGCGGCGTCGCTG